GTGTAAGTGAGGATGAAGGTGTAATAATGAGGGCGTGTAAGTGAGGATGAAGGTGTGGTAATGAGAGTGTGAGAATAAGGATGAAGGTGTGATAATGAGGGTGTGTGAGTGAGGATGAGCGTGTGATAAGAGGCTGTGGGGTGGGGATGAAGGTGTGATAATGAGGGTGTATGAATGAGGATGAAGGTGTGATAATGAGGGTGTGTGAGGGAGGATGAAGGTGTGATAAGAGGCTGTGGGGTGAGGATGAAGGTGTGATAATGAGGGTGTATGAATGGGGATGAAGGTGTGATAATGAGGGTGTGTGAGTGAAGATGAAGGTGTGATAACGAGGGTGTGTGAGGGAGGATAAAGGTGTGATAATGAGGGTGTGTGAGTGAGGATGAAGGTATGATAATGAGGGTGTGTAAGTGAGGATGAAGGTGTGATAATGAGGGTGTGTAAGTGAGGATGAAGGTGTGGTAATGAGAGTGTGAGAATAAGGATGAAGGTGTGATAATGAGGGTGTGTGAGTGAGGATGAAGGTGTAATAATGAGGGTGTGAGAATAAGGATGAATGTGGGATAATGAGGGTGTGTGAGTGAGGATGAGGGTGTGATAAGAGGGTGTGGGGTGAGGATGAAGGTGTGATAATGAGGGTGTATGAATGAGGATGAAGGTGTGATAATGAGGTTGTGTGAGTGAAGATGAAGGTGTGATAATGAGGGTGTGTAAGTGAAGATGAAGGTGTGGTAATGAGGGTGTGTGAGTGAGAATGAAGGTGTGATAATGAGGGTGTGTAGGTGAGGATGAAGGTGTGATAATGAGGATGTGTGAGTGAGGATGAAGGTGTGGTAATAAGGGTGTGTGAGTGAGGATGAAGGTGTGATAATGAGGGTGTGTGAGTGAGGATGAAGGTGTGATAATGAGGGTGTGTAAGTGAGGACGAAGGTGTGATAATGAGGGTGTAAGTGAGGATGAAGGTGTGATAATGAGGATGTGTTAGTGAGGATGAAGATGTGTTAATGAGGGTGTGTTAGTGAGGATGAAGATGTGTTAATGAGGGTGTGTGAGTGAGGATGAGGTTGTGATAATAAGGGTTTATGAATGAGGATGAGGGTGCATGAGTGAGCATGAGGGTGTATGAATGAGGATGAGGGTGTATGAGTGAAGATGAGGGTGTATAAGTATGGATGAGAGTGTATGAGTGAGGATGAGGTTGTATTAGTGAGGATGAGGTCGTATGAGTGAAGGTGAAGGTGTACGAGTGAAGATGAGGGTGGTCGAGTGAAGATGAGGGTGTATAAGTATGGAGGAGGGTGTATGAGTGAGGATGAGGGTGTATGAGTGAGGATGAGGCTGTATGAGTGAGGATGAGGGTGTATGAGTGAGGATGAGGGTGTATGAGTGAGGATGAGGATGTATGAGTGAGGATGAGGTTGTATGAGTGAGGATGAGGGTGTATGAGTGAGGATGAGGGTGTATGAGTGAGGATGAGGGTGTATGAGTATGGATGAGGGTGTATGAGTGAGGATGAGGGTGTATGAGTGAGGATGAGGGTGTATGAGTGAGGATGAGGGTGTATGAGTGAGGATGAGGGTGTATGAATGAGGATGAGGGTGTATGAGTGAGGATGAGGGTGTATGAGTGAGGATGAAGTCGTATGAGTGAGGATGAGGGTGTGATAATGAGGATGTGTGAGTGAGGATGAAGGTGTGATAATGATGGTGTGTGAGTGAGGATGAAGATGTGAAAACGAGGGTGTATGAATGAGGATGAGGGTGTATGAGTGAGGATGAGGGTGTATGAGTGAGGATGAGGTCGTATGAGTGAGGATGAGGGTGTATGAATGAGTATGAGGTTGTATGAATGAGGATGAGGGTGTATGAATGAGGATGAGGGTGTATGAGTGAGGATGAGGGTGTGATTGATGAGTGAGGATGAGGGTGTATGAGTGAGGATGAGGGTGTATGAGTGAGGATGAGGGAGTATGTGTATGAGGTTGTATGAGTGAGGTTGAGGGTGTATGAGTGAGGATGAGGGTGTATGAGTGAGGATGAGGGTGTATGAGTGAGGATGAGGGTGTATGAGTGAGGATGAGGTGTATGAGTGAGGATGAGGGTGTATAAGTGAGGATGAGGTTGTATGAGTGAGGATGAGGGTGTATTAGTGAGGATGAGGATGTAGGAGTGAGAATGAGGATGTATGAGTGAGGATGAGGGTGTGATAATGAGGATGTGTGAGTGAGGATGAAGGTGTGATAATGATGGTGTGTGAGTGAGGATGAAGATGTGAAAACGAGGGTGTATGAATGAGGATGAGGGTGTATGAGTGAGGATGAGGGTGTATGAGTGAGGATGAGGGTGTATGAGTGAGGATGAGAGTGTATGAGTAAGTATGAGGTTGTATGAATGATGAGGGTGTATGAGTGAGGATGAGGGTGTATGAGTGAGGATGAGGTTGTATGAGTGAGGATGAGGGTGTATGAGTGAGGATGAGGGTGAGGGTGTATGAGTGAGGATGAGGGTGTATGAGTGAGGATGAGGGTGTATGAGTGAGGATGAGGGTGTATGAGTGAGGATGAGGGTGAGGGTGTATGAGTGAGGATGAGGGTGTATGAGTGAGGGTGAGGGTGTATGAGTGAGGATGAGGGTGAGGGTGTATGAGTGAGGATGAGGGGGAGGGTGTATGAGTGAGGATGAGGGTGAGGGTGTATGAGTGAGGATGAGGGTGTATGAGTGAGGATGAGGGTGAGGGTGTATGAGTGAGGATGAGGGTGTATGAGTGAGGATGAGGGTGTATGAGTGAGGATGAGGATGAGGGTGTATGAGTGAGGGTGAGGGTGTATGAGTGAGGGTGAGGGTGTATGAGTGAGGATGAGGGTGTATGAGTGAGGATGAGGGTGTATGAGTGAGGATGAGGGTGTATGAGTGAGGATGAGGGTGTATGAGTGAGGATGAGGGTGTATGAGTGAGGATGAGGGTGTATGAGTGAGGATGAGGGTGTATGAGTGAGGATGAGGGTGTATGAGTGAGGATGAGGGTGTATGAGTGAGGATGAGGGTGTATGAGTGAGGATGAGGGTGTATGAGTGAGGATGAGGGTGTATGAGTGAGGATGAGGGTGTATGAGTGAGGATGAGGGTGTATGAGTGAGGATGAGGGTGTGTATGAGTGAGGATGAGGGTGTATGAGTGAGGATGAGGGTGTGTATGAGTGAGGATGAGGGTGTATGAGTGAGGATGAGGGTGTATGAGTGAGGATGAGGGTGTATGAGTGAGGATGAGGGTGTATGAGTGAGGATGAGGGTGAGGGTGTATGAGTGAGGATGAGGGTGTATGAGTGAGGATGAGGTTGTATGAGTGAGGATGAGGGTGTATGAGTGAGGATGAGGGTGTATGAGTGAGGATGAGGGTGTATGAGTGAGGATGAGGGTGTATGAGTGAGGATGAGGAAGTATGAGTATGGATGAGGGTGTATGAGTGAGGATGAGGGTGTATGAGTGAGGATGAGGGTGTATGAGTGAGGATGAGGGTGTATGAGTGAGGGTGTATGAGTGAGGATGAGGGTGTATGTGTGAGGAGGGTGTATGGGAGGATGAGGGTGTATGAGTGAGGATGAGGGTGTATGAGTGAGGATGAGGGTGTATGAGTGAGGATGAGGGTGTATGAGTGAGGATGAGGGTGTATGAGTGAGGATGAGGGTGTATGAGTGAGGATGAGGGTGAGGGTGTATGAGTGAGGATGAGGGTGTATGAGTGAGGATGAGGGTGTATGAGTGAGGATGAGGGTGTATGAGTGAGGATGAGGGTGTATGAGTGAGGATGAGGGTGTATGAGTGAGGATGAGGGTGTATGAGTGAGGATGAGGGTGTATGAGTGAGGATGAGGGTGTATGAGTGAGGATGAGGGTGTATGAGTGAGGATGAGGGTGTATGAGTGAGGATGAGGGTGTATGAGTGAGGATGAGGGTGTATGAGTGAGGATGAGGGTGTATGAGTGAGGATGAGGGTGTATGAGTGAGGGTGTAGTGAGGGTGTATGAGGATGAGGGTGTATGAGAGGATGAGGGTGTATGAGTGAGGATGAGGGTGTATGAGTGAGGATGAGGGTGTATGAGTGAGGATGAGGGTGTATGAGTATGGATGAGGGTGTATTAGCGAAGATGAGGATGTATGAGTGAAGATGAGGGTGTATGAGTGAGGATGAGGTCGTATGAGTGAGGATGAGTGAGGATGAGAGTGATTTGGATGAGGTTGTATGAGTGAGGATGAGGGTGTATGAGTGAGGATGAGGGTTTACGAGTGAAGATGAGGGTGTTTGAGTGATGATGAGGGTGTATGAGTGAGGATGAGGGTGTATGAGTGAGGATGAGGGTGTATGAGTGAGGATGAGGGTGTGAGTGAGGATGAGGATGAGAGGGTGTATGAGTGAGGATGAGGGTGTATGATGAGGATGAGGGTGTATGAGTGATGATGGAGGATGAGGGTGAGTGTATGATAGAGAACATGAGGATGAGGTGTACAATTACATTTATGAGTGAGGATGAGGGTGTGAGTGAGGATGAGGGTGTATGAGTGAGGACCAGGGTGTATGAGTAGGAACAGTTCCAAATGTTCTGTATGAGTGATGATGAGGGTGTGGAACAAAAAAAAGTGAGGATTGAATATAAGGGTGTATGAGTGAGGATGAGGGTTTATGAAAGGGGATACAATTATGAGTGATTATGTTACACAGAAATTTTCTGTAGGTCAGTTACCAACGAAAAATGTATCCTTTTAAGCAGTGCGTAGTGAAGACACAGAAAAAAATACAAAAAAAAACCACTTGTTATCACGGAACCAAATTAATCAGGCTTGTGAAAAGTGTGTTTAGATCGGAAACAGACCCAAAAGAATGCCACAACAGCGTTTCTTGTAAGTATAGAGAAAGATAGGGGTAATTCCTTGCCAGTCTGGTTATAATGAGGGGTATAAAAGGGAATGAGATGTTCCCCACTCACTCTATCACTAGTTTACACATCACCATGAACGCTTGCTTACTCCTTTTCGTTCTGGGCCTAGCAGCCACCTATGTGGCGCCAAGTGCAGCGGACTATGCAGAACTGGAGGGCAAGATTCAGGACTTACAAACAAGAATAGAGAACCTTGTTGCCGGTATTATCCATGGAGGTAAGTCATTTTGTTTTTATGTAGATGAAAGAGATTATCTACTCGGGTCCCAATATTTTTTCATTATTTTAGTGATAAGATTGCGATAACTGCGAAGCTTTTGAAAGAATATATGCAAGTAAGTTTTTTTTAAATTATCGTGATGGAAACTAAATAACTGATCAAACAAATAAACTGACATTTTTGCAATGAAAACAACCTTATCTTATTTTGCGATTTGTTAGAGGCAAATATAAACATTACCCATACATTTCGCTAAGAATATGTTTACGATCCAAAGACGTCGTAATGTGGAAGATAAACCCCTATTAACAATACACATGAAATATCTCTAAATGGAGCATTCATTTATTGCAAGGTAACATGCTAGAAAAAAATAAAGAATTATTTTGTATTGTTTGAGTGAATTCGTTGTTGTATTCCTAAATCAAAATTACTCTTGGGATATTGTCTGCGACGTGTCCTTCTCAGCGATTCATTGATCTCGTTGATAAACAGGGAATGACTGATATTTCAAAGCAGCGTAATGTTGTTGTAAACATGGATGATAGGAATTCAAGTGATTCTAACGGCGTTTCTGTCCGTGATTGATACAAAGTACCCACGAGTTACCTTAATCTGTTTATTGAGGATAAATTCTTTACTTATGTAAAACCATACAGTGTTAACAGCATCAGTATCTAACTTCCGTGTTGTTGTATTGGGAGAAAACCGACCCATCTAATTAGTAATAAAGAAAGTGTTTTTCGGTGATGCGTAAAACAACACGAGAAACACGAAAGTAAAACATCGATATGTCTGCCTAACTGAAAAATCAACTCTTTGAAGATATATAGTTATGACTTCTAGATATGACAAGAAAACATCGGTTCCTGTCAGTTATGATGTCCATGGTAACTTTCGGAACAAGTAGACAGAGCCCGTGTTTCTATAAAAGTGTGCGATGTTTTAATTAAAAGAACAGGTATTCAAGACGACAGTTTTGCCTACCTGTGCGTGATTTTCGGGCCAGTACACCATTGCTTCGTTTTTCTTTGCTGTAGACGACGATGAGGTCATGGAGTCAGCACACCGTAGGAAGAGGAGCGGCAACTACTACTTCGCTGCAGCAAGGGGTCCCGCCGGACCAGTGGGAGCGCCTGGTGAGTTTCTTCTTCTCTCTTCCGTAACGTTACTTCTATAATAATGTGTTTCATAAGGGGTTTGATATAAAATTACACCATTGTAAAATCTCTCTCTGTATAAATTGTACTTTGTTGTAAAATATCTCTCTCTCTCTCTCTCTCTCTCTCTCTCTCTCTCTCTCTCTCTCTCTCTCTCTCTCTCTCTCTCTCTCTCTCTCTCTCTCTCTCTCTGTATAAATTGTACTTTGTTGTAAAATCTCTCTCTCTCTCTCTCTGTGTATAAATTGTACTTTGTTGTAAAATCTCTCTCTCTCTCTCTCTCTCTCTCTCTCTCTCTCTCTCTCTCTCTCTCTCTCTCTCTCTCTCTCTCTCTCTCTCTCTCTCTCTCTGTATAAATTGTACTTCGTTGTAAAATCTCCCTTCGTTTTTACTGAGTTACAAATAGAATAATCCCTGTGGTACTGTCAGGAAAGACAATACACTGACGTGGCATTTTTCTAATCCTAAAAGCTCTGCTTTTATTAATGTAAAAGTTCTTACCAACATAATATGAATTAATGACTTTAACTGAAATATTAAATCCCTATTAATATAAATCAACTCCTATCATGATATTTTACACGGCGGTTCTTTGGTTTTACAATTGTTTGAATCTCTTGTGGTTATGAAACATACTTGCTTAGTATTAATATCATTACGAAATGAACAACAGGGCAAAGTATTCAAAAGGAATGTATATATCATTTATTTTATTTACTTTGATCTCTGACTATTTACCGCTAATATTTTATTTACTTTGATATCTGACTATTTACCGCTAATATTTTATTTACTTCGATATCTGACTATTTCCCGCTAATATTTTATCAACTTTGATATCTGACTATTTACCGTTGATATTTACTTTGATCTCTGACTATTTACCGCTGATATTTACTTTGATATCTGACTATTTACCGCTAATATTGACTTTGATCTCTGACTATTTACCGCTAATATTTTATCAACTTTGATCTCTGACTATTTACCGCTGATATTTTATTTACTTTGATCTCTGACTATTTACCGCTAATATTTTATCAACTTTGATCTCTGACTATTTACCGCTTATATTTTATTTACTTTGATCTCTAACTATTTACCGCTAATATTTTATCAACTTTGATATCTGACTATTTACCGCTAATATTTTATTTACTTTGATCTCTGACTATTTACCGCTAATATTTTCTTTGCTTTGATCTCTGACTATTTACCTCTAATATTTTATTTGCTTTGATCTCTGACTATTTACCGCTAATATTTTATTTACTTTAATATCTGCCTATTTACCGCTTATATTTTATTTACTTCGATATCTGACTATTTACCACTGATATTGACTTTGCTCTCTGACTATTTACCGCTGATATTTACTTTGATCTCTTACTATTTACCGCTAATATTTTATTTACTTTGATCTCTGACTATTTACCGCTAATATTTAATTTACTTTGATCTCTGACTATTTACCACTAATATTTTATTTACTTTGATCTCTGACTATTTACCGCTGATATTTACTTTGATCTCTTACTATTTACCGCTAATATTTTATTTACTTTGATCTCTGACTATTTACCGCTAATATTTAATTTACTTTGATCTCTGACTATTTACCACTAATATTTTATTTACTTTGATCTCTGACTATTTACCGCTAATATTGACTTTGATATCTGACTATTTATCGCTGATATTGACTTTGATCTCTGACTATTTACCGCTGATATTTTATTTACTTTGATCTCTGACTATTTACCGCTGATATTGACTTTGATCTCTGACTATTTACCGCTAATATTTTATATACTTTGATATCTGACTATTTACCGCTAATATTTTATCAACTTTGATATCTGACTATTTACCGCTAATATTTTATTTACTTTGATCTCTGACTCTTTACCGCTAATATTTTATTTACTTTGATCTCTGACTATTTACCGCTAATATTTTATTTACTTTGATCTCTGACTATTTACCGCTGATATTTTATTTACTTTGATCTCTGACTATTTACCGCTGATATCGACTTTGATCTCTGACTATTTACCGCTAATATTTTATTTACTTTGATCTCTGACTATTTACCGCTAATATTTTATATACTTTGATATCTGACTATTTACCGCTAATATTTTATTTACTTTGATCTCTGACTATTTACCGCTGATATTTACTTTGATCTCTGACTATTTACCGCTAATATTTTATTTACTTTGATCTCTGACTATTTACCGCTGATATTTACTTTGATCTCTGACTATTTACCGCTAATATTTTATTTACTTTGATCTCTGACTATTTACCGCTGATATTTTCATTAACCTTGATATCTAACTTTTGTATCGTAAGCATTTGATTTACCCTGATATATGCCTACTTACCGTGAATATTTTTATCATATTTCGCAACTTGTCTTCAATCTGTGCCTCTTTACCGTTAAATGTTGAAAAGAAAATTTTGATGTTTTTAACAGACTAAATATATTGAGCAAATTATAAATCAGATTAGGAATGGTGCTTAATGTATAGACCAGTAAGACACATATACATATAGGTTATATTATCATATTTGAATGACAATTCCATTGTAGTATCTAAATTATTAATGATGTAAGTCCTTTCGATTTCAATTTGAAGCTGTAATTGATAAGAAACATTCGAGAAAAAATAAGAATATTTTATCAGAATGTAAAAATGGCCTTTATTTATAACCAAATGCTCTGCTTCACTAATCAGTATTTCTCCGTAGTGATAGAAAGGGGTGACTTTTACTTTTGTCACGTGTCAATAATACATCAAATAATCAAGCCTTTATTTGCGATTATAATTCTTATTAACTTACTTTCGGTATAACGACCATTCAACGATAAATGACGACAGATAACTAATAATATCATTTATAAAAATACCACACAATTCTTCAAGAAAATAAATCTTAAAAAGCTCAGTAAACAATACAATATCATGAAGGAAAATCCGTATATGGTCTAAATTTATACCCTTACCGTTTAAAAACCTGTCTGAAAATGTTTGTTTTAGGTGCTCCAGGAGCGCCTGGTACCCCAGGCCCTGCTGGCCCCCAGGGAGCCACTGGTGCACAGGGAGAAAAGGGAGATGGTGGAGACCAAGGTGCACCAGGTGTCCCTGGCGCCGATGGACCACATGGTCCACAGGGAAACACAGGTGAAGTCGGAGAGCAAGGACCTCCGGGCCCAGTAGGTCCACAGGGAGATAAGGGATTTACTGGCGCCACCGGTGAAAGGGGATACCCAGGAATGCCAGGAGCCGACGGACCAGCCGGACCTCAGGGACAGCAGGGAGATGATGGTATAGCCGGTCCCCCGGGGGCTCCAGGCGCTGACGGAGAAAAGGGAGACCAAGGAGCACCAGGTGCTGTTGGGGAGGTAGGTGAAGCAGGACCTATGGGACCAACAGGACCACAGGGCCCACAGGGTCCACAGGGACAAGAAGGACCAGCAGGGCCACAGGGAAGACAGGGATACCCAGGACAACGAGGGGCTACAGGAGCGAGAGGCTTGACAGGACCACAAGGTTACCCTGGCGCCACTGGCAGAGCTTACGCATACAGGGCTCCAGCCCCTAAATATTATGCCGCCCCTGCACCAGTCTTTAAGTCATCATCAGCTCCAGCCAATATTAAGGGTTAAAAATTGATAGTAATAATAAAGACTACAATTCCAATATCATCGTTTCATCTGTGTTCTATTCCATCGAAAGAAACTTTGTATGACAGTCAACGTTATGTTTCCTCTTTTGATTTTCAGTAAACTGCTATCGGAAGAACAAAATGTGTCAAATTAATGTGATTGTGAATGACAAAAATAAATTATACATAAAATACTCTCATGCATTTATTGTTCCATTTTATTTTCAACGAACAATTTCAAACATTTTTACCGTGTATTTTCATTTCATTTGTGAATTAAATTACTATTGGAACAAAACGTTCATCATGCATTATTTTTTTTTATTTTTTTTTTTGAAATTATGTTCCCTTGCATTTCGTGGGACGTTTTTTTTAATGTTACACGATGCTCTTGATGACTTTGTCACAATAGGTACAGAAGAAACAGTATTATATTGATAAATTGTGTGTAAACTTTCCTCGGTGATGACAATCCTTGTTTCACTAGTCAGTCAACTCCTTCAATCAGCATAGACGTCGTCAGAAATGTCAAAGCAAAGTATACATGACATTGCGGTAGTATAAGATGAAACGATCTTCACGATTAATGATATGTAAATCTTTCTAACAGGAAGTTATCATTTCACAAGTGTCGTTGAAAGAGATAATCCTATTTTCATTTTGTACGATGATGTTGATATTGTTGTCTACCAGAATAATTATTTATCTGTCTTTGTTCGAAAGGATTTTGATTTCGCGACAGTTTTGTGGTAAGAAGTAATGACTTGATTTCGCGACAGATTTGTGGTAAGAAGTAATGACTGGATTTCGCGACAGATTTGTGGTAAGAAGGAATGACTTGATTTCGCGACAGATTTGTGGTAAGAAGTAATGACTGGATTTCGCGACAGATTTGTGGTAAGAAGGAATGACTTGGTTTCGCGACAGATTTGTGGTAAGAAGGAATGACTTGATTTCGCGACAGATTTGTGGTAAGAAGTAATGACTGGATTTCGCGACAGATTTGTGGTAAGAAGGAATGACTTGGTTTCGCGACAGATTTGTGGTAAGAAGTAATGACTGGATTTCGCGACAGATCTGTGGTTAGAAGTAATGACTTGATTTCGCGACAGATTTGTGGTAAGACATTGTTGGGAAGCTACATGGTTACACGGTGCGCGTCAAGTTTCTCGCCGTGTGTAACTCTGACATTGTTGGGAAGCTACATAGTTACACGGTGCGCGTCAAGTTTCTCGCCGTGTGTAACTCTGACATTGTTGGGAAGCTACATGGTTACACGGTGTGCTTCAAGTTTCTCGCCGTGTGTAACTCTGACATTGTTGGGAAGCTACATGGTTACACGGTGCGTTTCAAGTTTCTCGCCGTGTGTAACTCTGGTATTGTTGGGAAGCTACATGGTTACACGGTGCGCTTCAAGTTTCTCGCCGTGTGTAACTCTGATATTGTTGGGAAGCTACATGGTTACACGGTGTGCTTCAAGTTTCTCGCCGTGTGTAACTCTGACATTGTTGGGAAGCTACATGGTTACACGGTGCGCGTCAAGTTTCTTGCCGTGTGTAACTCTGACATTGTTGGGAAGCTACATGGTTACACGGTGCGCGTCAAGTTTCTCGCCGTGTGTAACTCTGACATTGTTGGGAAGCTACATAGTTACACGGTGCGCGTCAAGTTTCTCGCCGTGTGTAACTCTGACATTGTTGGGAAGCTACATGGTTACACGGTGTGCTTCAAGTTTCTCGCCGTGTGTAACTCTGACATTGTTGGGAAGCTACATGGTTACACGGTGCGTTTCAAGTTTCTCGCCGTGTGTAACTCTGGTATTGTTGGGAAGCTACATGGTTACACGGTGCGCTTCAAGTTTCTCGCCGTGTGTAACTCTGATATTGTTGGGAAGCTACATGGTTACACGGTGTGCTTCAAGTTTCTCGCCGTGTGTAACTCTGACATTGTTGGGAAGCTACATGGTTACACGGTGCGCGTCAATTTTTTGCCGTGTATAACTCTGACATTGTTGGGAAGCTACATGGTTACACGGTGCGCGTCAAGTTTCTCGCCGTGTGTAACTCTGACATTGTTGGGAAGCTACATGGTTACACGGTGCGCGTCAAGTTTCTCGCCGTGTGTAACTCTGATATTGTTGGGAAGCTACATGGTTACACGGTGTGCTTCAAGTTTCTCGCCGTGTGTAACTCTGACATTGTTGGGAAGCTACATGGTTACACGGTGCGCGTCAATTTCTTGCCGTGTGTAACTCTGACATTGTTGGGAAGCTACATGGTTACACGGTGTGCTTCAAGTTTCTCGCCGTGTGTAACTCTGACATTGTTGGGAAGCTACATGGTTACACGGTGTGCTTCAAGTTTCTCGCCGTGTGTAACTCTGATATTGTTGGGAAGCTACATGGTTACACGGTGTGCTTCAAGTTTCTCGCCGTGTGTAACTCTGACATTGTTGGGAAGCTACATGGTTACACGGTGCGCGTCAATTTCTTGCCGTGTATAACTCTGACATTGTTGGAAAGCTACATGGTTACACGGTGCGCGTCAAGTTTCTCGCCGTGTGTAACTCTGACATTGTTGGGAAGCTACATGGTTACACGGTGTGCTTCAAGTTTCTCGCCGTGTGTAACTCTGACATTGTTGGGAAGCTACATGGTTACACGGTGTGCTTCAAGTTTCTCGCCGTGTGTAACTCTGGCATTGTTGGGAAGCTACATAGTTACACGGTGCGCGTCAAGTTTCTTGCCGTGTATAACTCTGACATTGTTGGGAAACTACATGGTTACACGGTGTGCTTCAAGTTTCTCGCCTTTTATAACTCTGACATTGTTGGGAAGCTACATGGTTACACGGTGTGCTTCAAGTTTCTCGCCGTGTGTAACTCTGACATTGTTGGGAAGCTACATGGTTACACGGTGCGCGTCAAGCTTCTTGCCGTGTATAACTCTAACATTGTTGGAGGAGACGTCGTTATGACAGTCCACAATTAGATCTGATTACAAACAAAATCAAAGTACTGAAAGTACTGAGATAGATTAAAGTGTAAGTAATTACATTAAATGTATTTACATGCCTATCTTCCTTGAAGTATCATGGTTAGACTTTTCTCCCAGTAATTATGTCTATAAAGACATAGTTCTTTGAGATTAAACCAGACTTCCATATATATACAAAATTTACAATATTTTCACTATAGCTTCTACTATTTCTGATCTCCAATGCATTAGATAATGTCACCGTGACACGCTAAATGAATAAATATGTTATGGAAATATTTCTTTCTAGTTAATTGATAATTATAAACATGAATATTTTGGGTTTTTTTATACGCGCTTTGTTTGAATGAATATTTTCATTTCAATGAACTTTGATACACATTAACAAACCTTGAAAAATCAGCACAAACAACCTTCATCAAATAAAACTGAAAGACAAAAAATATAAGTTATAACAAAGTCAACATCATGATCAGTACAGTATTAAAAATATATCATTCATATATCATGAGAACCAAATGTACCTTGCCTACGAAGCGCAAACTTTTTATCTTCAAAAACTTGAAAAATTGTCGTGGCGGTGGATGTGAAAATCCTGAAAAAATGTCATATAGGCGGGTATGCGCGTGGGACGAACAGTCCAATTTTTGTGACTTCTAATGAGGTAAAGTGATGTTATATATTAAGACGATCTTGCCACAACGACAAGGATTAAAGCAAAATTGATGTTCTGTTTGTAAGTTTTGTTTGTTTATAAGTGCTGTTAGTTGATAATTCAAACCAAGCCCCCAGACTAGCTTCTCATCATGGCGCCAACTCGCACGTACCGTGTTCTGTACGCTTACGTCATGTCGAGAATTCCGTAAAATATATTGTTCAAAATTTATCAATAGTTCAACCACACTGTGCTTCTTTTTTGAAATATATAGAAATCGTATTGTTATTTAAAAAATAAACTAATTTTGGATGCTTTTAAAATAGCGATTTGAAAGATCGCGGCATTATTTACGCAGAAAATTGCCGCTAGATGGCTCTAAGTCTTTTCGATATTTCAGCCAATGGGAAGGTCAGGATCGGTAAATTTTGTCTGAAAGGCCGTCACTGAGTACGTTTAGCCTAAAAAGCCAAGTGATCGCTACTGACAAGTCCAATTTAGTTTAGAATTAACATTGGTATTCTGTTCTGGGAATCCAAACAAATCTATGACACGAAAATGTGAGTATTTTCCAAACAAACACATAATAATAATAATAATAATGATAATAGACTTTATTTAAAGAGGATAATACATGTTTACCCAAAGGCTAATCTACCACATGGTCCTCAAGTTTGTAAAATATTACACTCGTTAGTAAAACATGTTATCACAATCAGATACTAAGATACATACAAAATTATAATAGTGAAAGACATTATAACATATCACAGTCAGTATTAATTAAGATTGTCACAGATAGCACAAACACATATTTGTGCTAATTTGATTTGTCAATTAAATGGCTTTAAGCCGTATATACATATACACCGTATGCTAACATAGCAAACATTAAAAATTACCAGGATATACGCTAATATAGCATAGATTAAAAAAGGAAAATTTGCATAAAAAAGAACAGTTAAGAATTCCAAAAGTAATGAACTAGTTGGTCTTTAATAGAATTAAATTTTTGAATGCCTTTTAACAGACTGGGTAGACTATTCCAGTCCTGAGCACCAGATATAAAAATTGTTTTGAGTAAAATGTAGTTCTGTGCTTAGGAACAATAACATTTACCACGGAGAACCTGATACATCTTCTGTGTTCATGATTAGCAAGTTTGATATTGTGGCTTAAGTAATCTGGCACCAATCCATGAATACACTTGTAGAACATACATATTCTCTTGAATTTAAATATTTTTCAATTGGAAGCCATTTGAAAACAGAAAACATATCAGAGGAAGGTGTATCATATGACACATCAAGTATAACACTTGCTGCCTGTTTCTGGGCTTTATATAATTTACCATTTTGATTTGCATCACATCCAGACCATACAGTACAGCAATAGATAAAATGGGGAAAATACAAGAGTTGTAAAACTTCATTCTACATTGAATGGGAAGATAGGAACGTATACGCCTTAACACCTAAGCATTTTCGAATTTTAGACACTGCTTTGTCGGCATGACTTTTCCATGACAAACAATAACCCAGATGTACACCTAAAAGTTTTTCATTTTTCTCATTCAGTGTCACCAAGTTTCAGGCTAAGTTTACAATCTGTAGTCCTGGAGAGTTTCTGATTTGAAGCAACAATCACACATTTTGTTTTTTGGGCATTTGTAATCATTTTGTTTTCATAACACATCGCTCCATTCAATATAAATGAAGTTAATGTCACTTCCATTTAATAAAAATGAGAGTTATGTCACTTCCATTCAATATAAATGAGAGTTATGTCACTTCCATTCAATATAAATGAGGATTATGTCACTTCCATTCAATATAAATGATAGTTATGTCACTTCCATTCAATATAAATGAGGATTATGTCACTTCCATTCAATATAAATGAGGATTATGTCACTTCCATTCAATATAAATGTCACTTCCATTCAATATAAATGAGAGTTATGTCACTTCCATTCAATATAAATGAGAGTCACTTCATTCAATTTAAATGAGGTTTATGTCACTTCCATTATATATGAGGGTGTCACTTCCATTCAATATAAATGAGAGTTATGTCACTCATTCAATATATATGAGGGTTATGTCCATTCAATATAAATGAGAGTTATGTCACTTCCATTCAATATAAATGAGGATTATGTCACTTCCATTCAATATAAATGATAGTTATGTCACTTCCATTCAATATAAATGATGTCACTTCATTCAATATAAATGATTATGTCACTTCCATTCAATATAAATGATAGTTATGTCACTTCATTCAATATAAATGATTATGTCACTTCCATTCAATATAAATATGTCACTTCATTCAATATAAATGATAGTTATGTCACTTCCATTCAATATAAATGAGGATTATGTCACTTCCATTCAATATAAATGAGGATTATGTCACTTCATTCAATATAAATGAGGTTTATGTCACTTCCATTCAATATATATGAGGGTTATGTCACTTCCATTCAATATAAATGATAGTTATGTCACTTCCATTCAATATAAATGATAGTTATGTCACTTCCATTCAATATAAATGAAGATTATGTCACTTCCATTCAATATAAGTTATGACTTCATACAACATAAATGTTATGTCACTTCCATTCAATATAAATGAGGATTATGTCACTTCCATTCAATATAAATGATAGTTATGTCACTTCCATTCAATATAAATGAGAGTTATGTCACTTCCATTCAATATAAATGATAGTTATGTCACTTCATTCAATATAAATGATAGTTATGTCACTTCATTCAATATAAATGATAGTTATGTCACTTCCATTCAATATAAATGAGAGTTATGTCACTTCCATTCAATATAAATTATAGTTATGTCACTTCCATTCAATATATAAATGATAGTTATGTAATATAAATTATAGTTATGTCACTTCATTCAATATAAATGATAGTTATGTCACTTCCATTCAATATAAATGAGAGTTATGTCACTTCCATTCAATATAAATGAGGATTATGTCACTTCATTCAATATAAATGAGGTTTATGAGAGGGTTATGTCACTTCATTCAATATAAATGATAGTTATGTCAATATATAAATGATAGTTATGTCACTTCCATTCAATATATATGAGGGTTATGTCACTTCATTCAATATAAATGATAGTTATGTCACTTCATTCAATATAAATGATAGTTATGTCACTTCCATTCAATATAAATGAAGATTATGTCACTTCCATTCACTCTAAATGAGAGTTATGTCACTTCCAATCAATATAAAAGAGAGTTATGTCACTTCATGCAATATAAATGAGGATTATGTCACTTCATTCAATATAAATGAGGATTATGTCACTTCCATTCAATATAAATGATAGTTATGTCACTTCATTCAATATAAATGAGGGTTATGTCACTTCATTCAATATAAATTATAGTTATGTCACTTCCATTCAATATAAATGAGGATTATGTCACTTCCATTCAATATAAATGATAGTTATGTCACTTCCAATCAATATAAATGAGAGTTATGTCACTTCCATTCAATATGAATAAGGATTATGTCACTTCATTCAATATGAATGATGGTTATGTCACTTCCATTCAATATAAATGAGGATTATGTCACTTCATTCAATTTAAATGAGGTTTATGTCACTTCATTCAATATAAATGATAGTTATGTCACTTCATTCAAAACAAATGAGAGTTTTGTCACTTCTTAATTTGATATCAATGCACAATACGGTAGGTGTACATTTCTATGACGTCAGAATAGTCACTTTACGGTCGTTGTACATTTCTATGACGTCAGAAATATCATCTGTTACTATACGGTGGGTGTTCATTGCTGTAAAGTGGTGATTACTTTAAAAACAATTGTCGATAACACAGCGGTAATCACCTACCTAAACTGGAATTGTACGGATATAAGTTTTGATTATTTCTATAACCGTTATAGTGATCTGTAATTACGAGTTATACACTGACATTTTCTCTGTAACACTGAAAACCTTAAGACAGTTTACATATCCTAATTGTGCCAAGTAACGACGCCTTTACTAGCTGTTCATTATAATCGTGTCTGAAATATGTTTACGCATACTTTTCTCTCCGTTTTGGTTAAATGAAATAGCACTGAGATGGTTATATTCTCCCTTAAGAAACATCATCGCTTTGGCTAAGTGGCCAGGTGCTATTTTGCTGTAGGGATAGCAATATCATGCACCAGAACTTCCCACACGAAAGATTCTATTTCTTTTAAATTTTACGTAAAAAACTATGTTATGATTTTTTACTAACATATGTATGTTTTGTTTTGAAGAAGACGGCAAAATAAGGAAGAAAAGACACTTGTGGATGGCTGGACCTCCAGGCCCGATGGGAAGTACAGGTAAACACGAATGTACCTATATTACCAAAATCCAATTCCTGGTCAGTCTCTCCAAATGTCCATTAAAATAATACAGATGAGGAAGACCTGATCAACTTGATCATGTTCTATCGCTGTCCGTATACACATCAATTACAAAGTTATCAATCAATGATTTAAAACAGAGACACTGTGATAACACGTGGTTACTGTATGAAGTGATAAGGTCTCCTTACAATAAACAAGTCTAGAATGACATTTGTCGTCCATACCTCGCTCTCCTTCTCCCCCTATAGATAAGTCTTATTCTTTCCAAATCAATGAATGATTTTTTATTGACTTCAACTGTAATTTATCATGAAGGAGCCCCTGGACACCCAGGACTTCCAGGAGCACCTGGTCCAGTTGGACCCACGGGATACCCAGGGTACCAAGGAGAAAAGGGTGATCAGGGTGTGGAGGGACCTCCTGGACCTGTTGGTGAACATGGTCCACAGGGCCCCACGGGCGAGACAGGACCTGTAGGTGAGATGGGTGCAGTAGGACCTCAGGGACCAAAAGGACTGGACGGAGAACAGGGACCTCGGGGAGATAATGGCGAACAGGGAATGCCTGGACCAGCCGGTCCCCAGGGAGAAAAGGGTGTACAGGGAGAATATGGACCACAAGGTTTGTAGATATGGTAGACTCGGTAGCTACAACGAAATGGTAGATTTTCGTTGCATTTAATATTTATCATAATCGGAGGATTTCTGGGTAGTGTTGTATCATCTATATACTTCTCTATTTTCTTATTCGCTCATGTGATTTTATTAACCCATCGTTGAATAATGTATGTGTTTGATAAAAGTGCATTTTTTGTCGGACATTTTAGTAAATATAACAAGAAACCCATGAAACTTTCTTATAAACACGTCTATTTATAGCCTATTTACCAGTTTATCTCTTTATCTCTTACATCCTTGCATTTTTTTGTATTCAATGGTAAACATCCCAAACCCTTTATTTTCTATGACCAGGCTATCCCGGAATGGCAGGTGATAAGGGTTTACAAGGATACCACGGCTATCCAGGAATGCCAGGTGACACTGGACCTATGGGACCCCCAGGAGCAGTAGGCGAGGCTGGACCAATTGGAGCCGTTGGTCCACATGGTCCCCAAGGACCCATGGGAAAGCCAGGCTTTCCGGGACATACCGGTGCTCCAGGTGCACCAGGAAAACGCGGATACACCGGGGCCCCGGGCCCAGCGTACGCTGTCAGGTATAAGAGTGCACAGGCACCTCCACCTGCACCTTACAAAGGTTAAATAATATTTTTTTCATAATTGATATGATCGATATTCCATTTTTTGTTTTACAGAAAACAAATATCATACACCATGAATTAGCTCTGTAAATCTGTATTGTACGTTACGTATCCTGTCATCTCCGTCATCCACCGAAACGCCATGTTTGAATTAAATTAAGGGAAATTCATTGTAAGTCAAGAAAACAATTCCTGATGATGTGAGTGAATAAAATGAGTTTTTCTAAATAATTAACGATGTTGTTGTATTTTGACGGCTGCTTGTTGTACACAGTGTACCTACATCACGTCAAAATAAAGTCAGCGACCAAGAAAGTCGCCCAGTCTAAAACGGCTTCCTTACTACCACATTACGATCGTCTCTTTCGGGAACACAATACCAATACCTAACCCGAACCCCCATAACTAGCCTCAATCTCAGCCTTCAAGAAACATAAAAAAAATTCCTTCATTCGTCATAGCGAATAGAGCCATCATTTTGATTTTCCTGTTGAAATTAGCATATTCGATGTTGAAAATTTTGAGACATCCTGAAAAAAGTGACAGACATTATATGCTTTCTTCAAAAAAATGACAACGTGATATTTCTTGCTAGGATAAGTCGTTGACAAGGCAGGCGTTGTCGATGAAACAGAAGACGGTTACGCTTCAGTCACACCTGGTCTGGTCTAGTTAAAGATTCTGTTGACATGTCGGTATAGTCTTTGTTGTTTCCTGTGTAAAACCACTGATAGGATATATAGATAGTGTTTAATACAACGGCCTCTTCTATGCTGAAATCTTTTAAGATTTGTTAATCTTGTGGATGAGTTTGTTAAGAGGACAGAAATTTAAAATGGTAGTTATCACAGTTGCTTTGGTTTCTATCGGCATATAAATAACACAAGGACCGGAACCCCATTATAGAATGGAATGATATTCACTCTATAGCTCAGTTTTTTTTTTAAAAAGTTGTGGAAAAAATCGAGATAAGAAAAACCGCTTATATATCGAGGGTAAAGAAAACATCTGTGCTTGTGTAAGCAGAAAGACTCGCTTAACTCTCTTAATTATGATTATACTTCGCTACCATCTTTATAATCTTACTAGCGTATACGGTACACCACTGACAGATTTTCTGAAATTAGATTTAATTTCACTTTCTAAAAAAAACAACAGACCATGCTGACTGCCACTCCGACCTCCAACCTTCCACCCCCTCACCACAAAAAAATAAATAAATAAATAAAGATACCCCTGTTGGAATCTTGTCTTTGAACTTTTGAAACTTTCTAGATTGTTATGTTGAGAGAAATATAATTCTACAGACACTTAATTGAAATACTCTGAGTTTCCTCTGAGATTGAAACAGACGGACTAGGAACATATTTAACATCTAACGTTAGAGACAGTGTCCTCCTTATCTTTTGAAACAGACCGACTAGGAACAGGTTTAACATCTAACACTAGAGACAGTGCCCTCCTTATCTTTTGAAACAGACCGACTAGGAACAGGTTTAACATCTAACGCTAGAGACAGTGCCCTCCTTACCTTTTGAAACAGACCGACTAGGAACAGGTTTAACATCTAACGTTAGAGACAGTGTCCTCCTTAACTTTTGAAACAGACCGACTAGGAACAGGTTTAACATCTAACGTTAGAGACAGTGTCCTCCTTATCTTTTGAAACAGACCGACTAGGAACAGGTTTAACATCTAACACTAGAGACAGTGCCCTCCTTATCTTTTGAAACAGACCGACTAGGAACAGGTTTAACATCTAACGCTAGAGACAGTGCCCTCCTTACCTTTTGAAACAGACCGACTAGGAACAGGTTTAACATCTAACGTTAGAGACAGTGTCCTCCTTAACTTTTGAAACAGACCGACTAGGAACAGGTTTAACATCTAACGTTAGAGACAGTGTCCTCCTTATCTTTTGAAACAGACCGACTAGGAACAGGTTTAACATCTAACGTTAGAGACAGTGTCCTCCTTTCCTTTTGAAACAGACCGACTAGGAACAGGTTTAACATCTAACGTTAGAGACAGTGCCCTTCTGATCTTTTGAAACAGACCGACTAGGAACAGGTTTAACATCTAACGTTTGAGACAGTGTCCTCCTTAACTTTTGAAACAGACCGACTAGGAACAGGTTTAACATCTAACGTTAGAGACAGTGTCCTCCTTATCTTTTGAAACAGACCGACTAGGAACAGGTTTAACATCTAACGTTAGAGACAGTGTCCTCCTTTCCTTTTGAAACAGACCGACTAGGAACAGGTTTAACATCTAACGTTAGAGACAGTGCCCTTCTGATCTTTTGAAACAGACCGACTAGGAACAGGTTTAACATCTAACGTTTGAGACAGTGTCCTCCTTACCTTCTGAAACAGACCGACTAGGAACATATCTAACATCTAACGCTAGACACAGTGTCCTCCTTACCTTTTGAAACAGACCGACTAGGAACAGGTTTAACATCTAACGTTTGAGACAGTGCCCTCCTTACCTTCTGAAACAGACGGTCTAGAAACATATCTAACATCTAACGCTAGAGACAGTGCCCTCCTTATCTTTTGAAACAGACCGACTAGGAACTTATCTAACATCTAACGTTAGAGACACTGCCCTCCTTACCTTTTGAAACAGACCGACTGGGAACAGGTTTAACATCTAACGTTAGAGACAGTGTCCTCCTTACCTTTTGAAACAGACCGACTAGGAACAGGTTTAACATCTAACGTTAGAGACAGTGTCCTCCTTACCTTTTGAAACAGACCGACTAGGAACAGGTTTAACATCTAACGTTAGAGCAGTGTCCTCCTTACCTTTGAAGCAGACCGACTAGGAACAGGTTTAACATCTAACGTTAGAGCAGTGTCCTCCTTACCTTTTGAAACAGACCGACTAGGAACAGGTTTAACATCTAACGTTAGAGACAGTGTCCTCCTTATCTTTTGAAACAGACCGACTAGGAACATATCTAACATCTAACGCTAGAGACAGTGCCCTCCTTATCTTTTGAAACAGACCGACTAGGAACAGGTTTAACATCTAACGTTAGAGACAGTGCCCTCCTTACCTTTTGAAACAGACCGACTAGGAACAGGTTTAACATCTAACGTTAGAGACAGTGTCCTCCTTACCTTTTGAAACAGACCGACTAGGAACAGGTTTAACATCTAACGTTAGAGCAGTGTCCTCCTTACCTTTGAAGCAGACCGACTAGGAACAGGTTTAACATCTAACGTTAGAGCAGTGTCCTCCTTACCTTTTGAAACAGACCGACTAGGAACAGGTTTAACATCTAACGTTAGAGACAGTGTCCTCCTTATCTTTTGAAACAGACCGACTAGGAACATATCTAACATCTAACGCTAGAGACAGTGCCCTCCTTATCTTTTGAAACAGACCGACTAGGAACAGGTTTAACATCTAACGTTAGAGACAGTGCCCTCCTTACCTTTTGAAACAGACCGACTAGGAACAGGTTTAACATCTAACGTTAGAGACAGTGTCCGCCTTATCTTTTGAAACAGACCGACTAGGAACATATCTAACATCTAACGTTAGAGCAGTGTCCTCCTTACCTTTTGAAACAGTCCGACTAGGAACAGGTTTAACATCTAACGTTAGAGACAGTGTCCGCCTTACCTTTTAAAACTGGGGATACAGTGTACTCCAAATGATGTATTTACTTAGGTAAGTGCCTGTAAAAACCGTCTATATTTTCTCGTAGTTGACCTATTTATCTATTTCTTGTCGATCTGTGTTTGATTGACAGGTTGGCATTTCCAGAGGTTATTTATTTGTTTATCTGCTAAATTTGCTAAATTTTCCACTTGATGAAATTGTAAATCTTCGTATGTGTTTTCTTAAACACCAAGGCCATTCGAGGTGGGTACAAATCTCTATCAGGTTCTAATGTTATTTCTAGGTTATATTCATCTCGACAAATCTATTGAAGACGCTCGGTCCTCCTCCAGACATTTCCTACCTCAAAAAAAAACTCATTATCTATGGAAGACGCTCGGTCCTCCTGCAGACATTTCCTACCTCAACAGAAACTCATTATCTATGGAAGACGCTCGGTCCTCCTGCAGACATTTCCTACCTCAACAGAAACCTCATTATCTATGGAAGACATCTGCTGGAATGAAAGTAAAGCTATTTTTAGAACATTAACCCTATCGAGATGTGACATTTCTCACCACTAAACCAACACAAGACTTGTATGTTGTCATTTCCTGTGTAATCACCTCTTCGAGACCTAAGCCATGATCTTCATGGCTATCCTTTCTGTATCACTAACAGAGACAGGACAAGATAGATGTTAAATACAATAGGTAAATCATTGGTACTGAAATGTCTGACGAACTTATAACTTGTTAAATATGCTTAAAATTTAATATATTTTTACTTACAATGAATCTAAATTAAAATCAATTAAAGGAAAGTAAAACCTATCAGTCTATTGTTGGTTTTTATGTTTATTACCAAATCATGTAGTAGTGCTAATAGGGAAACAGCTCCGTATCTATAGGCCAGACTGACCGTTCACATTTTTAATAATCCTTTGGCTCGTGATCCATATGTTCATTTGTGGTAAGGGAATATTTATGGCATGACAATAGCAACATTTATTGACAAATTGTTATAACATTGAAATAAATGAAATAGTATTAGGATTATTTCACAGGTATGCAGTTTTGCGTTTTTGTTTTTGAATTTCTCATTAACGTTCAGATCAAGGAAGAGTTATCTCCCCTTGATCGAGTATGTTTTATACCACAATGGCATTACATTTGTATATAGATTATGCTGTATGTCTGAATGGTTTTTCTACTCTTTTCTAAGGAGAAGACTTTTACAGACTTTCAGTCTGCAATAACAGAAGTGACTAATTAAATGCCAGCACGCACTTGTTGGAAAACGAATATTCTTTGAAACGGTCTGTTCGCCATCTGTTGCTGTTCTGCGAATAACATTTATCTTTTATGTACTGATGGTTCCTATAAAACAGAATACTAAAAACGTTTTAGGTGTATGTATATACTGATACTCTGTTGATAAAT